AATTTTTGTATTATATTATAATGGTTTGTAATTTTATTTGTAATATCATAAATATATAGTTGAGCAAATATTGGTGTGAGACCTTTATTTAGTAATAATGATCTAATTAGATGATAAACTTGACTATGAATCTGAAAATTCGATATACCACGTCCCAAAAATTGGGTATCTATATTAGCACTAAAAGATGTGCAAACCAAAGTACTGTTATAACTTCTAACATGTTTACGAAAGTTAATTGCATCAGAATTAGTTGAAGTATAAAGATTTAGTAGATAAGGTAAGGGTTCAAGTAAAGACGGTAATTGTACTTTGCTACTAGCACAACAAAGAGGAAATTTCGAAGCAACGTATCTACTATTTTGATTTTTTTCAATCATCCAAAATTTAGCTTTACAATATTGACAGGTCTGATTTATTCTACCTATATCATAACGTTTAGTTTTATTACAGCAAGAATTAGATATTAGATAATTCAAAATCAGTAATCATAGAAACTTCAGTAGTAAGTAAAAGTGAAAAGTTATCAGAATCAGATTCAATATCTATAGCAGGAGTTTCAACTACAACTGTGAGAACTTTGGTATTAAATAAGTATTAAGTTCTTTGGAAATATCAATAGATAGGTGTGAGGTAGTTTTTTTATTATTATCTCTAAAACGTTTTTGGTATTTATAGTTGAGTTGTTTTCGTTGTTCTTTTGATTATGCAGAATCAGAATTACTATTAATTTTTAACTATAAAGACTTCGGTGCTAAGTAAGGGTTGAAGGTCTTTAGAAATATCAATGGATAGGTGTGAGGTAGTTTTCTTATTCTTGTCTTTAAAACATTTCTGGTGATTACAGTTAAGTTGCTTTCGATATTTTTCTGATAGTGCAGAGCTACTGGAAGATGTTATTATATCTAAAGATAAAAGATTACATATGAAAGGATAGGGATATTGAAAGCTTTAATAGATAAATTTAAGTTAATACACTAATAGAAATTGAAAATTTGATATGATAATATGTATAATTATTAAATGATAAATAAATTATTAGTTAATTTATAGTAAAATTTTAAGCAAAGTCAAAAGTATTAGTTTAAATAGGTATTGTTCGTGTGATTATTATCAGATTACAAAGCAGTAAGAATAATACGATGACATTTAAATTATAGAAATAGAAAAATATTGAATTTGTATATTAGCAGTAGGCTTTGATTATAATATGACTTATATAGAATAGAGTCTAAAAACAAAGATAATCTAGTATTATATAGAGCAGTAATTTGAATTAAAGATAAGATTATATTGATATAATGATAATAACCAAAATATCATAAGATATGTAAAAAAAAATTAATTATATGATGCTGAGCGTGCTTTCCTGGTAGGCTTGAATATAATT